TTTGAAGAAGCTTTAAAGATGAGGAATCTTCTAGAAGAATTCCATGAATATCATGGTATACGCCCTGCTACCATTCTTGGTGTCAGGGAACATGTTTTTACAGGAAGGTATAAAATTATAAATAAATAATAATAATGTATTTACTATTTAACACACACACACACACACACTCATACAGACAGTTTAATGTTTTGTTTTGAATTATTTGTACAGTGTTTCTTCTTTAGCATCCTTCATGTCCAATCAAGAAACGAGTTTTGTAACTCTTGGGCAACGTGTTCTTGCAAGTCCTCTAAAGTAAGTTTGACTTTTCTATTCAAGCGATATATGTTCTTGTTCCCAGGGGTATTTTTGTCATTTTGGTGATTTTAAATTATTTTTCAGGGTTCGTATGCATTATGGTCATCCAGATGTGTTTGATAGAGTCTTCCATATAACACGAGGTGGTATTAGCAAAGCCTCTCGTGTCATCAACATTAGTGAAGATATTTACGCAGGTATATATTTAATAATAACAATAATAACAATAATATATTCTCTCCTTTCTTTCTTATTATTATTTTTTAAATTTTTTACTAATATATCTAATGTCACCTTTGAAATGCAGGTTTTAATTCAACTTTGCGTCAAGGAAATATCACACATCATGAATACATTCAGGTATTTGTTATTTTTTTTTAAAATACTTCTTCCCTTCTAAAAGTAAAAAAAAAAAGATTGTTTTTAATTTTTTTTTTTTAAATGTTGTGAAGGTTGGAAAGGGGAGAGATGTGGGGCTGAATCAGATTGCTCTGTTTGAAGGAAAAGTAGCTGGAGGAAATGGAGAGCAGGTTCTTAGTAGAGATATATACAGACTTGGTCAACTCTTTGACTTCTTCCGGATGCTTTCATTCTACTTTACAACTGTTGGATTTTACTTCTGCACCATGGTACGCTACACACTTTTTTTTTTATTAATTTAAAAAAAAAACGGCCAACAACTTTTCTGTTTTGATATGCAGTTAACAGTGATCACAGTGTACATATTTCTCTATGGAAAAACATATCTGGTAAGTTTTAATTTTATTTTATATAAAACTTCTCGTTACTGTTTTATATAATCTTCATGTGTATATATATTCTTAGGCATTATCTGGAGTTGGTGAAGATATTCAATCAAGATCTGAAGTACTCGAAAACACTGCTCTAAATGCAGCCTTGAACACACAGTTCTTATTCCAGATTGGTGTATTTACAGCTATACCCATGGTTTTGGGTTTCATCTTAGAACAAGGATTCTTAAGGGTACGTTGGTCTTTTTTCCATGTATAGATTATTGTTTACATAAATATATATATATATATATATATATATATATATATATATATATATATATAAAATCTTTGTTGTTGCAATGCAATGCAGGCTGTTGTCAGTTTTATCACAATGCAATTTCAGCTTTGCACTGTGTTCTTTACATTTTCTTTGGGCACAAGAACACATTACTTTGGTAGAACAATTCTTCATGGTGGTGCAAAGGTTTGTTTTTCTTTTTTCTTTTTTTTTTATCATTTTATTATTTTTTAATATCTAATTAAATTTTATTCCAAAAAACAGTATCATGCAACTGGACGAGGCTTCGTTGTACGCCATATAAAATTTTCAGAAAACTACAGACTTTATTCACGTAGTCATTTTGTCAAAGGGTACTCTTTCTCTCTCTCTCTCTCTCTCTCATGGTTTTAATATTTTGTTTATTTATTTATTGAAACAGAATGGAAGTGGTTTTATTGTTGGTGGTGTACATTGCATATGGGTACAATTCAAGTGGTTTAGTAGGCTACATTCTTTTAAGTGTTAGCAGTTGGTTTATGGCCATTTCATGGCTTTTTGCTCCTTATTTGTTCAATCCATCCGGTTTCGAATGGCAAAAGTGAGTTTTCTTTTTTCTTTATTTATTTATTTATTACATCATCTTTATATTTTATATATATTTTTTGTTTTCCAATTTTAGGACAGTAGAGGACTTCAGAGACTGGACAAATTGGCTCTTCTATAGAGGTGGAATTGGTGTCAAAGGAGAAGAAAGCTGGGAAGCTTGGTGGGATGAAGAATTGGTACACTACAGTTTTACAAAAATACCCTTCTTTTTTCTGTTACCATATATTTATATACAATTCTTAATTCTTAATTATAATGAAATGTGTTTTTTTTGTAGTCTCATATTCGAACATTTGGGGGAAGGGTTATGGAGACGATTTTGAGCCTAAGATTTTTCATATTCCAATATGGTGTTGTTTACAAATTGGATGTGCAAGATACAAATACATCATTATCTGTAAGAATTTGAATTTCATAATCTACACAAATTTTAATTCTCAAGAATCAAAATGGTATATCCTAATATTCCTTCATTCCTACAGATCTATGGATTTTCATGGCTTGTGCTTGTAGCCCTCACTATCCTTTTCAAGGTACACAATAAAAAAAGTTAATAATATTTAATATCACTCTCCAAATTCTTACCTTTTTTTTTTTTTTTTTTTTTTTTTTTTTTTACAGATATTCACATTCTCCCAGAAAATCTCAGTGAACTTTCAACTAATCTTACGGTTTGTACAAGGCGTTGCTTTCATGCTAGCAATCGCGGGAATATCCGTGGCCATCGCCCTCTCTCCCCTCACTGTCACTGATGTCTTTGCCTCCATCTTAGCTTTCGTTCCCACCGGTTGGGGGTTACTATCGGTATTTTCTTTTTTCTCTTCTTTTTCACTTTCAAATGCAAGGGTAAAATGGTCATTTACTTTTTGTTGTTGTTGGTAGATATGTGTGGCGTGGAAGCCGGTGTTGAAAAAGATCGGGTTGTGGAAATCAGTGAGGTCGCTTGCTCGATTGTATGATGCGGGAATGGGAATGCTGATATTTGTCCCAATTGCTTTGTGTTCATGGTTCCCTTTCATCTCAACGTTTCAAACAAGATTGATGTTCAACCAAGCGTTCAGTAGAGGGCTTGAAATCTCACTCATTTTGGCGGGAAACAACCCTAATTCTGGGTTATAGTTGTGTTTTGTACATGTAGAGAGAGAAAGAGACTGGGTTGGCTTTGGATGTGTGTTGGTGTTTAAGATGACTTTGATTCGAAGATTTAGTAAAAGTACTAGAAGTGTTTGTAAATTATGAGGGTGTAAATTTTGTAGGATTTTGGGAATCTTGAATATGGAAAGTGGAAAGTTTTTGTGGTATCTTCTAATTTATAATCAATCCATCATCATATCTTGCAAACTTGTCATAATACAAAAATCGTAATTGGATCAAATCTTTGGGTTTTGTGTTATTGTTTTTTGAAATTTGTTGAAACCAAATATATCAAAACATATTTATAGCGACACTTGGGGGGGTATAAAAAAGGGCCAAAAATGGCTGAAAGAATCGTTTGAGCCCATTCTACCCATTCAACAACGGTAACTTCTAAAACGCTGGTTAGAAAACAATCCATTGCTATAAGAAAAACCGCTATAAAACCCAAGGGTAAGTTAGCCTAAACCGGTTCGGTTTATTTTTAAGTGGTTTTAAAGAAACGGTTTGGATGTGCACATCTATTTTTAGGTACCATCAGTTAATGTATGGATTATGGAACCTTAAATATTTTAAATAGTTTGGACTTGTGTTTGAATTAACAGTAAGGTAGTGGAATGGGTATTTTGCCGATGAAAAACATATTGTTTGGTTATGTAAAGAATGGAATGGAGCACTCAAAGAATGTGATTCATTCTCTTTGTTGATTTTCACTCATGAGGAAGTTTATTTTTTTTATTATTATTATTTTTAATCATGTAATGTATATTTATACTTATAAATTATTTTTATTATATAGTTTTCAATAGTATTAATCATTTAAAAAAAAATCAAAACTTTAAATAAATTTTTTTTATTTCTATTTATAATTATATTTCAAGATTTCATTTCATCTAGTTCATTTTATTTAATATTTTTGTAGATGACATATAATTCTTTCTAAATAACTTGTAAAACATATAACATATACTTTGAACCAAATAAAATATATTTATATATAATTTAGTTAAGTGATTAAAAATATTGACAATATCGAACTGGTACCTTACTCTATACTACTGCATTCGATTTTTTATTTTTGTGCCATTTCGATTTTGGTATGTGTTTAGTCAGTTCCGATACTTTTCTCAATTATAAGTTCAAACTAAACTAACTTTCCCGAATTGAACTAGTACCGTACCCTATACTTTGGATTGATGTTCGGTTCCTACTTTTATGTCATTTCACTTTGTTACTGATAACGAGCTCACCCTAATTTTTTTAAAAGTTAAAGTTTATTATTATAAAATAATATGGTTTTTTCTTTATTTATCAATTTTACATTTCCAAGGCTTATATTTATTGATAAAAAAAGGGTGTTTGAATGATTCATTCTATTATTTCAAATCAACCTAGCATGACAATGAAATATAACGATCCATTTCATTACCATGTTCATTCAATTATGATGTCCATATTAGTCATTTCATTTCATCATACCAAACATATTAAGTTAAAATTTTATTTTTTACTGAAATTTTAGCAATTTTGTTATTTTTGTTTTTTTTAAAGGAAATTTCACAAAATCGGATATATTTTTAGCTTTTTATTTAAAACCATTGCTTTATCTATTTTTTTTTCAGAAATCATTTTAAAAAATAAAAATAAATATTTGGACTATTTTAACATAAAATAACAACATAATAAACATAAGTTTACTATCTTATAAAAGAAATCTCACTATTTCTAAAAATATTTCTAAAAATAGCTTCAATATAATAATATTATTTTTTTAAGACGTCCAAACAATTTAGCTAATAGTACAATTAACGACCAATAAAATGATATTAATCTGCATAGTTCAAACATCTAAGCTAAACGTACTATCGACCAATACATATAGGAATTTTGACCCAGTAGTCTTTAATCGAGCGCTCTAATACCTGATTAATTCCTAAAATAAAGGCAAACGTATCTCTATTTGGCTGCTAGGATAGTATTTCGCTAACAAGAGAAACTATACATTACATTTCTCTCTCTAAACATAAATCTCCCTGAAACCACCGTCATCATCGTTCGACTGTGTTACCTTTGGAGTCGGTATGCTACGATACGCAATCCCCTTTGTAAAAATCGTTTTCCGGCTTCACTAACTTCTCCCAGAGCTTTTGTCGACCTTTTGACCATTGATCTTTACCAGCAAGGTTAAGTATATCACAACTCACTGCCTGCTTCTCTCTTCTTCGTTTTTCCTTTTTCTAATTTGAAAACTTGTTTGTTTGAAGGATATTTTTAGGGTTTTGATGAACGATGGGGGTTTTATTTGAATCTTGAATTTGTTTAAGTTTAATTTGATTTTAGGTTTTTGGTTGAACTTGGTAAATACACGATTTAGGCAGATCTTGATTCAAACCCATGGATCAACCCCATGGATCAACCATCACGACTCCATCGCACCACCAAACTGCGGTTCCCTTCTTCCATTCATTCAAGATGAATCGATTGTGGTTATTTCAACAACGACATGAACTTATCTGGTAGCCAGCACTATTTTCGTTTTTCTAAGAAAAACACGAACTATTTCGTATTTTCTTTGCATATCTTTGGTTTTTTATGTTTATCTTTACAGATATGGAAGTCGTAACGTCACAAACCTCTATCAACCACCACCCTCTGTTCCTGTGCCACAAAAGCTAAGGCCTTTTTTTCTAACCAACCTCAGATCTATCGATTTTATGAGTCTTTTTATGTAGGATAAAGTTGGAGGAAGTAAAAGAAATGTCTGAACTATTCGTTGTTATTGTTGCTACTATTGTTAGGGCTCAACCAGAAGATTTTAAGACTATTTGGCAGGAATGGGTGAAAGATTTTCTTATGATGCTTACCATTTGGATCTATATCCTGTCTCTTAACTTTGTAAGTTTAAGTTTTCCCTTTCTCCTTTCTTGGTAAAATACATGTTAGTCTGAACTCCATTTCTTCTTCTAGCTTTTTGTGGTTTTTGGCTCCCTTACATCAAGATTGTGTCCTTTTATTTCAACATGAATAAAAATAATCGTTTTGTCACTACAAGCATGTGTTGAATCATCATTTCAATTGTGATATTTTATGGTCAGATCTTCATAGAGATGTCAAAGGGTGGGCCATGAATGATCGTTTGATTTTTTTTACACTTTTGGTGCTGATGTTGTGACAAAGTTTCTATTCAACGATGATCTTTATGTTGTTTTCGACACTCACTATGTTTGCATAGTAATAATTGTTGAAGTGGAAACCAAACCATGGAAATTGCTGCCACATGATACACCTGGTCAACATTTGTAGCATTGAAGAAGCCGGAAGGTGTCCATGTGTTCGGAGACTTTCTAACGGCTTAAAGTTAAAAGTTATTGGGTAATAATATAATTTCATGGTATTTTTAAAGTTTTTAATGAAAAAAGAAAATCATCTATTGTTTCACCTTGTTGGTTTGATCTCTACAATAGGGAGGCTGAGGAAGGCGAACATGAAATGGGGAGTGTTCTTGAGGAAGGCGGACACGAAACGTCTCCATCATTCCTGATGCATATAAGGTGCTGTTTGTTTTTTATTAAAAACCTCTTCAAACCTCTTCGTGCAGCGCGGCGCAGCACTTTCTTTCCCGCAGCTGTTTGTTTTTTCGCAGCCTTCGAAATTAAAAACCTCTTCCCGTCCTCTGCTTGGGACAGCACTTGAAAATTGCTTCTAACCTCTTCAAAACTAAACCCTAAAAAAAAAAGCGGCCACCTCCATTCTTCCAGCAAGTCGATCGTGAGCGGAGCTCTCCTACCTTCTCTCGACCTCGCGACCACCGGCACAGCCACCTCCGGCGCAACCCCCACCGGCCTCTCCCCTTCCGTCGGTCGTCCTTCCAGGTTTGTTTTCTTGTTCTTTTTTTTTTTTTTTTTTTTTTTTTCGTTTTTCGCTGCTGAAGGCAGCGATTGTCTTGAATATTTCAACAATTCGATTTTGTTGGTGTTTTACTTCATTGTTCATGCTTCATACTAATTGTTTGATTTTTGTTGTTGAATCTTTGAATTTGCTTGTTGGTGCTAATCTTATCAAATAGTTCATGCCTTATATCAAATAGTTGTTCTTGAATCTTTGTTCTTGCCCCAATTTCTTCAATTTGTGCTTAAAATGTCATATGTTGTTGCTTAATTGTAATGAAATATTGCTGAATTATTGCTGAATTGTCACTAATTATTGCTGAATTGTCACAAATTGTTGCTGAAATGTCACAAATTGTTGCTGAAACGTCATGAAATATTGTTCAAATGTCATAAAATGTTGCTGAAGTGTCATAATTGTTGCTGAAATATGAATAATCTTTGTTGAAATTGATTATTTTCATCATTACAAGTTGTAATTATGCTGAAAGTTGTTGGTATATGGTTATGTGTGCTAAAGTATGTATTCCATATGGTTTTTTTTTATTAGCAATGGCAGATAAACATACATGGAACAATGAGCAAACAAAATTCTTATTGAACACTTGCATTGAAGAAGTACAAAATGTGGGTAGAAAAGGTTTGAGTTTGCACAAACATTCATGGAACAAATTAGGAACAGCCATTAAGGAAAAGTTTGGTGTGGATTTGAGTCAAAGACAATTGAAAAACGCCTATGACAACCTTAAAGCCAAATACACTGGATGGTTATACTTGAAAAACAAAACTGGCAACCTTTACAATCCTCAAACAAACACTTTTAACTTAACAAATGAGGAGTGGGAGGACTTTAAAAAGGTATATATATATATATATATATATATATATATATATATTAATATGTATTTTGTTTATATAGTTGTCATTTATTCTTATACTACTTTTGTTACATTGATTGGGTTTAGGGACATCCGAAAGCCGCTTCTTTGAAAACTGTCCCATTGTTGTTTCCAGAGCTTTGTGCAGAACTCTTTGATGGAAATAGTGCCTCTGGTAATCTCAGCTATGCCACATCCCAAACACCATCGGGACATGGATCATCTTCTTTCCATGTCGCACTACTACAACTTATGGACACCCCTTCTGTTAACATAGATGAGGATGATATCTTTTCCAATCATACCACTCAGCCACCATCTTCTGCTGCTTCACCTTTTGGTAACCCCAACAAAAGAGCTAAACCCTCAACTCCTAGACCTCGAGCTGCTAGTGCCTCACCTGAGCCACCTTCTAGTGCCTCCCCTAAAGCTTCTATTACTGCTGATGATTTAGCATTGGAGATGCAGAAAGCTCTACGACATTTGACTCAAGGGCCAACAATTCCCCAATGTTTAGAGAAGCTAGAGTTACTCGAGTTAGGCCCAGTAGACCCTTTACGATTTGCTGCTTATCATATTTTTGGAGGGACCAGGAATATGAGAGAGATGTGGGTAAATTTGCCTAATGATCCACAAATATTAAGAGGATGGATCGAGATGACAGCTACAAGTTTAGGAGTATTGAAGGATGGAAAGATTGTCCATTAAGTTTACATATTTGAATTGTTTAGGTTTTAATTGCATGTGTTAGAACTATGTGGTTATGTTTTTTGGTTATTTGGTACTTGGATGTTATTTGTAGTATGTGGTTATTTGGTACTTGAATGTTATTTGTAGTATGTGGCTATTTGGTATTTGAATGTTATTTGTAGTATTTGGAACTTGAACTATGTGATTATGTATTTTGGTTATTTGGTTATGTTATTTGGTACTTGAGTTTTATATTTGGTAACTTGTGTTGATTAATAGGTTCCTAATGGATCACGACAAAAAGATACTACTCATAATTCTAATGTACTTGTACGTCCGCTACTTTTGGAAAAGGGGTGTAAAACGAGTGCGGGACAACGATTCGGAAATGACGGGACATGAATTTACGTTAGAATTACTTCACCGTAATCCTCTACAATGTGTTGAAGTGTTACACATGTCCCGTGAATCATTTGTCCGGCTATGTGCTCATTTTAGAGTAAACTACGCGTTAAAGGATAGCAAACATGTGTCGGTTGAGGAGAAGATGACTATGTTTTTGATGATGATCGGTCATAACCAACGTTATGTGATTATCAAGCGGAGATTTCAACACTCAAAGCAAACAATTCATAAGTTTTTTCATGAAGTGTTGGACAAAATGCTGCTTTTCGCACATGACATTATAGTGCCAACTTCTTTTAATCCGAATCCAAACATTCCGGGACATAATAGGAGGCTACGACGGGTGTTCAAGGGAGCAGTTGGTGCACTTGATGGCACTTTGATACATGCTGTTGTCCCTGCAAACAAACGGGATTTATATAGAAGTAGGGGAAAAGGCGATTGTTACCAAAATGTATTGGCAATATGTGACTTCAACATGATGTTTACGTTTGTTGTGGCCGGTTGGGAAGGGATAGCACACGATTCTAGAATTTTATCAGAAGCATTAGCAAATCCACATGCACCATTCCCGCTTCCACCACCAGGTAAATTTATTGTTATTTAAATAGTTTTATCTTAGCTTGAAAAAATAAATGACTTTTTTTTTTGATTTTTTTACAGATAAATATTATCTTTGTGATGCCGCTTATGCAAACATTCGAGATTTTATGGCACCGTACCGTAATGTGAGATATTGGCTTGGAGATTTCCGTCAAAGACGTGCATTAACGAATAAAGAAAAATTTAACCATGCACACGCAAAACTTCGGAATGTCATTGAGCGTGCTTTTGGTGTCTTGAAAGCACGATTCCCTATATTGAAGAGGATGGCACCATTCTCATTGGTTACACAACGAAACATTACCCTAGCATGCTTTGCGCTTCATAATTTTATAAGAAGAGAGAGACTACGTGATGAGTTTTTTGCACGATATGACGAACCAAATGTCTCAGTTCGGAATAACAATGCAGTCGTTGATAATGATGAAGATGAGATTCCAACACATGGTACTGCAGCGGACCGTGAATATATGACCCAGTTAAAAGATGAAATTGCCGAACAATTGATGCAAAATATGGAATGAAAATTATTAAAGTTTGGTTGTATGAATTTTATTTAAAAATATTATTGTAAGACTAATTTGGTTGTTTGAATTTTATTTCAATGTTTTAAGACTACAATTATTAAATTTTTGGTATTAAAAAACTATTTTCGGTTTATTAAATTATTTTATTTTAAATTTTTTAATATCTGCAGCAGTCTGCAGCCATTAAAAAAACAAACATGCTTTTCATTACAGTCTGCAGCACTTTGGTCCACCTCTTCTGCTGCAGAGGGTTGCAGAGGTGGTCCGCAGACTTCAGACAGTTTCACTTCGGAAAAACAAACAGCACCTAAATCATTCTACATGATTCAATTTCAGATACATACAAACTATATTAATTTTGGCTTTTTCTATAATTATAATGGTACCAAAGAGCTATTCCATGATGACATTCTTGCTCCTCATGAGAGTATAATTGCAACAGGTAAAACATTTGGCAAACTTAATATTTTTTGGTAAACAAGGTGAAACTTTTGTTGGATCATAGTAATTCTTGTTATTTGTGTTTCTTCTATTCCCGTCTTTTAGGTTTACGAATTTGAATTTATGATGATGTAATCATGGAATTCACTTTTTTTTAGGTGGACAAAGCTATTAAGATGGAACGCTTATTTAAGATCAAATAAACATAACCATGGGGTGATGGATCTTAATACAAAAATCCAATAAAACACTATGGGAAAGTACTACTTGCGCAATATCCTATTTTTTTTATAGTGTGAGTTTTATAGTTTGTTTACATGTGTCAATAAAAATAAAAATAAAATAGAGTGTAATGGTCTTAATAAGATCAAAAGAATGTGTGTAGTTTGTTTGCAGGAGATGGCGTGATGATGGGGTAAAGGGTAATTTGGTCCTTATACCATTAAGTGAAGATGGATAATGTCAGGGGTGAACAACATGGTCAGAGTATTAAGACTATTATCAAAAGCATTGTTCTTCTGTGATGTTGCAAGATTGGAATGGAAAAATAAACGAATGGTATTTTTGGAATATTGTTTTAGGATTATATGATCCGGTGGAAAAGAAAGGGGAATTGAATGTTTTTGTAAAATCTCTAAAAAATTCTTCTTTTTGCTTTTATCATTTTTTTTCGAGATGTGGATAAGTTGAAAATTGGTGAGTACACATAGCAAGATGTAATGCATTGGAGTTGTGTCTTTTGTTGTATTGATTTAATTGAGAATTGGAAATTCAGGAAAAAGGAAGGGAAAGAAAAAGAAAGTGATCGGTGCTTTTTTTATAGATGGTAAAGCTCTTCTAATTGTACTATATGCGTGTTTTCTACCACAAGATCTGGATTTTAAGAAACAAGTATTGGAAAACTGGAAAAGTTTACAGTATATATCATACAAGAAACAAGGATCGTGTGCAAGTGAATTCTGTTGACTTTTTAAGTAATTATAGTTCATTTCATTTGATGATTTATGGTTTTCATTTTTAACATTGTTGCAATTAATATACGTAAGCGAAAATATTTGATCACAACAAAAGTTATCGGAATATAAATAATAATGATTAATAACAAAAAATAAACAAATTTATTTTTTTCAAAACCTAACATAAGCCGTTCCAAAAAAAAAAAAAAAAAAAAAACTAACATAAAGTTACCTCCCTTTCATAACGAACTCTTAACAATCTAATTTTCAATTCTAATAAGCATTAACAAAACTTAAAGTTATTTACACTTATTTTTATAATAAATAAATAACATGGATAAATTTTATTAATCGTATTTTTGTTTTAAACAATAAAACAACACTTTAAAAAGAACAAACTATTTTTAACACAAAAATAGCAACATATTTTTACATTAAACCAAAAACATTGATAGCAAATTTTCTTAACAAAAACGGTTAGTTTACTATATTTTGAAACCATACGTAAATAGAGTTATGATCGTAACCCAAAACAACAATTTTGTTTTTGGGCCATTTACCTTGGTTCATGACCCACTTTAATCCATATTTGCATGTGAATAAGTCCAGACAAGGGACCAAAGGTATTGCCACCTGGACAAGTCCGGATAAGGGAAGGTTTTACTTCCAAGTCTTCGGTGATGACTCTTGCGAGGTCATATGTTTATTAAACATGCATTAACCCTATGTCCTAAACCAAAACCATTATCCGCAAACCATAAGGGCCTGAACTTGTGCATACTAAGCATTTTTTTCCTTTGCATTGCGAGTGTTACAACTATTCGTTGCCACAATGACGGATAACAATATGTATCTACATTTTGTTTCCTGAAATATAACATGTTTCAGAATAAAACTAATTGCCAAAATAAACTATTTGTCGTCCGCCGCTTTGCACGGGTACACCACTAGTGTGTGTGTGTGTGTGTGTATATATATATATATATATATATATATATATATAGTTTATGACTAATTTAGTTTTACTTCTAACTGAATATAACTCTATAAAAAGGTAAACTTATGTTGATTAAAATATTATAGCCACGATAATAAAAACCCTCCATTATGAGAAACAAACCTTTAATAGTGACTAAAAAAATCCATCTCTCATCATTTCCATCCTACGGTCCCCTTTGATCATGTATGGGCATTGCAAAACTTTTCTTTTGTTTAAGGACATGTCAATCGGTGCACATAGAAGAGACAACTTTGTTATTTGACAAATGATTGTGTGGGGCTATCGAGGGTATGGTGGTATGTGGAGGCCCCTCCTTTGGAGACATCCAGTGGCGTTTGACTTCCTTACCTATTCGTTTCGGTGGTTTAGGTTTGTACTCAGCGTACGAGGTTTCCTCCTATGCATTTGTAGCATCGAGGGCCCAATCTTGGACATTACACGACCACATCTTACGTGATAGTGACATATGTGGTATGGACTCTGGTTACCTATGTGCTTTGATTCGTCTTTGCGATACGATTTTGGGATTCGACTGTAGCGGTTTCACTAATAAGGACACCGTCCCCCTAAATCCCAAAAAAGCATTGACGTGTGTCCTTTTTAGCAAAATCCTCAAAGATATGGAAGTCGATTTCGACATGACTGTTAGGCAGAAAGCAGTTTTTAAATGTCTTCGTACACCTCATGCTCGGGATTTTCTGCTAACTATCCCTATTGATGGCATCGTCCAACATATGTCTCATGTGGAGTACCGAACTATCATTCGTTACTGCCTTATGATTCCTCTATTCCCAGTTGACGAGATATGCCCAGTTTGCCGCAAGGCATGTTTTGACATTTTTGGGGAACATACGGTTCATTATAGAGAGCTCCCTGGTTTCAAGTATCGACATGATGTGGTTAGGGATGTTCTATTTGATGTTTGTTGGTATGCTGGTATTTCCGTGAAGAAAGAAGCGTCGGTGAACTTTTTGACGGACCCGTAGGACGTAAGATCCACACTCAGGCCGGCTGACATTTTGGTCTTTAGATGGGTAGGAGGGAAACACGCTTGTGTGGATCTTATTGGGGTCTTTCCTCTCGTCGGTTTGAGGAACGAGGGTTTCACAACAGGAAATGCCGCTTTGAAAGCCGCTGCGTGCAAAGTGGCAAAGCACGAGAATGCATGTATAGAAAATCAACATGTGTTTGTACCTTTTCATTTGATACATTTGGTTTTCTCGCACCAGAGGCGTTGGAGCTCCTCAACAGAGTCTAACGGGTCATGCATTCTAATGTTATATCTTATA